CTTGGAGAATGCTGTCACTTTAAATATCCAAAATGGTCAAGCCGCTTGTAAACATTCAAAATGGCTGCACCCTCTGGACAGGCAAAAGTCCACAGCTCAGCCCACCTTCTTCTCTGCTTTCCCTTTTATTCCCCAGCCACCAGAGCAGTCCTCTGTGCAGTCCCTGACTAGCAGGGCTGATTTTTAGGTTAATTCTTAGGTCCTACCACCACTTGGCAATATCCAAGCTGTCTGTGCTGTCAGGATCACTGCCAGACCACAGCTCTGTATGTCTCCTTTTTTGGTATTTTTATGCAAACTCTTCTGCTAGTTGGAGTTTAGTCCACTTCTATATACTTCCCTTCAAGGTTCAGGGGTCCAGGATTATCTTCTGTATCTGTGTTAATTGGTTTCCCTTTCCTTTGTTGAAGAGGGTCTGTGCAGTCTTTTTACCTATTCTGCCATCTTACCAGAACTAAAGAGTCCATAAATTTTATAGTAAGCAGAACCAAGCTTGATTTTTGTCTAAGAGGAGACATTTCCTTATTCCTCAGGTTGGTCACTGAAAACACAAGTCTGAATAATGGCCTGAGTAAACAGCACAAGGGCCTAGCATTCTGATATTCTCAGGAAGAAGATGCAGGGATGCTAAGGGCCCCAGAGGCCTGCCTCTTCTGACATAAGGGACATTGTTATAATCAATCTAGAACAAGGATGACGATGGTGCAGAGGATGCAAGCTAGTAGTTACCGAGCGCTCACAACATGCTGGAGACTGTGTGCCACGTCATGACATATACTGTCTAATTTAGTTCTCCCAACCCTATGAGGGAGAGATGGTTATTTTTGCCCCATTACAGATGATCATACTATGGGTCTGAGGGATTAAGCAGCTTGTCCATGTTTGCTCAACTTGTAAGTGGGCCAGTAAGTAGTGGACCTGGGATTCTAAAGTGCTTTACATGATGCTGAGGAAGGCCATCTTCACTGTTGGTGAACATTTAGCAGCTGGGACCCAGAAGAGGACAATGAGTTGATCCAGGGCACACAGAATGCACAGGACACAGCTGGGACTTGAATCTGGGCCTCCTGATTCCCAGGGTGTTGTCTTCATGTCTTAATAGTGATAGCTCCTACTCTCACCCAGGACTTGTCTGCTTCTGGGATGGGTTTCTTGGGTGGAGGACCAGGAGACTGGGTCCTGGGTAGAGTCCATCTTCATGGTTAGGCCTGGGGAAGGCCACAGGTGAGCCAAAGCCCAACTCTAGCTCTTTCCTCTGTTCTTGCCAGGCTAAGTGGCAGCGTCTGGCCTCAGAGGGCAAGGCCCATCTGGACATGTTTGAGCACATCAGCCTTATGACCCTGGACAGTCTGCAGAAATGTGTCTTCAGCTTGGACAGCCACTGTCAGGAGTGAGTTCTAAGCCTGGGTCTGGGAACTTGGATCATTGATCCAAAGGAGTAGATAGAGGAGGAAGCACTGACCAGGGCAACCAGAGAGCCTTCCTGAAGGAGGTGGGTCCTATCTGGGCATTGAAGGACAGGGAAAGGGAGAGACAAAGGGAGGTCCTTCCAAGTAGATGGAAATGTTTGAATAAAGGCAAGAAGGGTAAGATGAACACAATATGTGCATTCTCTCCAGTGAAGAGACAGTTTGGAAATGAGATTGGAGAAGTAGGCAGGGGCTAGATCTTAAGGATAGTAAAAAGCTAGGCAAAGAGATATGGGCTTTATCTTGGGTTTCCATGGAGTCATGTAAGGAAGGCTTTTGAGCAGATGAGGGGCAGGATGAGAATTCAGCTTTAGAAATCTGTGTCTCAAAGACTGACTCTCAAGTAGACATTGGATGCTGTTGACATTGGGTAGAAGACCAGCCAGGAGGCTGAGCCTATGGACCAGTAGGGAGAGGATGAAGTGTGAGCTGCACAGACAATTTGGGAAGGAGAAGGAGCTGGTGAGAGTGATGAGCATGATGCTTAAGCTCTGTCTGGCTCTTGATACCTGGAGGCAGCTCCCAGGGATGGGGATAAAGAGAGAAAAGAAAGTGTGGAGAGTCTTATCTCCTGGCTCATCCCCACCATACATCTCTGGGGCTGTCTTCTCCTGGATTCTGTTTCCTGATGGGAGGTAATGCCTGGCATCTGTGTGGGAGATGCTCCTTAGCCTTTAGGTATGTGAACTTCCTGCCTTCCTTCTTGTCCTACAGGAAGCCCAGTGAATATATTGTTGCCATCTTGGAGCTCAGTGCCCTCATAGCAAAACGACATCAGCAGCTCTTCCTGCACTTGGACTTTCTGTACTACCTTACTCCTGATGGGCAGCGCTTCCGCAGGGCCTGCCGCCTGGTGCATGACTTCACAGATGCCGCCATCCGGGAGCGGCGCCGCACCCTTTCAGAGCAGGGTGTTGATGACTTTCTCAAGGCAAAGGCCAAAACCAAGACTTTGGACTTCATTGATGTGCTTCTGCTGAGCAAAGTGAGTGTGTGTAGATCCTGGTTTGAGAAGTGGGCAAGACTTCAATTTCAAATGTCAGATCAAAGAGCTTGTGATCCAGAGGGTACTGGGAAGCTGTGGAAGGTGTCTGAGGAAGGGAGGGCCATGTCTGAGATGATTTTAGACATGACTCTGAAATGCAACCTCAGGGACGACTAAATCTGGAACTGTCAGGGCCTGAAATTTCACTCTATTGCAAACTAATAAGGGAGACTGCCACAGTGTGTTTATTTTATATGTAATATAGACTTGTTATTAGTGTCATGTCAGGTGTAACTCATACGTATAACCCTTATGTATAACAGGATGAAACATAGCTTACTCCTGTGCCATCTTCAGGACTGGATGTGCTTGAATCCATTGTCATGGCCACTGCATGTTTTGAGTGACTTCCAACCTAGGGGGCTCATCGTCCTGTACCATATTGGGCAATGTTCTGTTGTGATCCATAGGGTTGTCACTGACCAATTTTTGGAGGTAGATTGCCAGGCCTTTCTCCCTAGTCTGTCTTAATCTGGAACCTGTCCACCCTGGGTGACCCTGCTGATATTTGAAGTATTGGTAGCATACCTTCCAGCATCAGAGCAACACCAAGTCACCACAATACAACAGACTGACAGATGGGGTAGTGGATACACACCCGCCCCCCACACACATAGTATATTTGTCTCGTGGATCAGAGTCAACCATTTACTTCACAGTAATAACAGCATCCAGAATAGCATCACAGTGCTGGTTTCCCATTCCCAAATTATCCCAAGGGCTACACGATAATGGGTCTAATTTGTCAGCTGTACATGCCACAGAGTTTGCACTATAGGAGATGAAGCCCACATAATCAGTCTTGTAACTTATATAGAACAGGTGGCACAGCTGCCCTTCTCTTGCCCAAAGAGATGGAGTGTGGGTGGGGGAGAGGGAGAGTGACCTTTGTTCTAGAGCATAAAGAAATCCTTTCCAGCCAGATGGGCAGTCTTCAGGTTCACCACCCCTGAGATATAAGCAAATGCTCCTGAGGAGATAAGATTGGAGTCAATGGATTTACTCCCTTAGATTGTGAGCAAATGGCTCTGGAGCAGTCTCCAGTCTCTAACATCCAGCCAGGGAGAGTTGTCATGCAATGTAACTCGGGTCCCCAGTGACTTTTCTTCTTCCTCAGAGAGCCCTCATTATACATTAAGTCTCCCCACTAGGGACAACACAGGAGGCAAAGAGAACAGGGATGAGGTGTGCAGGGAGGAGGCTCTAGAGAGAGAGAGGGAAGAGGGTGGAGGAGTGCAGGATGGGCTTGGGTTTCTGGACAGAAGATGGAGCTTTGCAGATGGTCTCAGCCATAGTGTCTGCTCTGACTCATGGTGACCCTGTGCACAACAGAGCCAAGTGTTGCCTGGTTCCATGCCACCTTCATGACTGTGGGTGTGGCTAACTCCATTGTTGTGGCCACTGGGTATTTTGAGTGCCTTGCAGCCTAGGGGCCTCATCCTCCAGCAACGTATTGGACAATATTCTGTTCCAATTCATAAGGTTTTCACTGGTTAATATTTGGAAGTAGATTGCCAGGCCTTTCTTGCCAGGCTGTCTTGGTCTGGAAGCTCCACTGAAACCTGGGCACTGTTAGGCTCAGGTAGTGTCAGCTGATGTGATGATGGGATGTTGGTCATCTTGCATTCTCTCCAGGATGAAGATGGGAAGGAGTTGTCAGATGAGGATATCCGAGCAGAGGCCGACACCTTCATGTTTGCGGGTGAGAGTACCAGGATGGGATTGCACTGGGGACAGGGGTCTTTCATTCCCAGTGACTTTGTGGGTGGATTCTGGGCCGTCTCATCCTTCCCCATCCTCCTTGAGACCCTCAAGGCAAGGGAGCTCTTCTCCCTCACTCACTGGGTACTGAAACAGCCCAGTGACCGAAGCCCACCTGGCTGCCCCTCAGGCCATGATACCACGGCCAGTGGCCTCTCCTGGATCCTGTACAACCTCGCCAGGCACCCAGAATACCAGGAGCGCTGCCGAAAGGAGGTGCAAGAGCTCCTGAGGGACCGCAGGCCAGAGGAGATTGAATGGTGAGTGTCGACTCTCATGACCTGTTCCCTGAGCCCCTTTCCCTGGCTCTGGCAAGGATGGGGGAAGATCTTTCTGCTGATTCTGCCCTAATTGCATAGTGAGAATAGGAGCAGAGCCCAGATGCAGGGTCTGGTACCCAGCGGCTTTTGGGTTAGGAAGGTCTGGTCTGTTGCGAGAACAGTGACAGTGTATGAGGGCAGACATCACTTAGCACTTGCTCAGTAAATGAACATCTCCTCCCCTTCTCTACCTTGTTTTTCTCTTTGAAATGTCATTTTTTCAAAGGCCTTTAATCCCCTGGATGTTTACTCTTATCCCCAAGTCTAATTCCTACCCTATTGTCTGGTCCAGGGATCACAGGGGATGACTAGGAGGCAAAACTATGCATTTATTTCCCAGGAACACCTGCATCATTATCCACGCAGTCCTCACCTAGCAGACATTCCCTCACTGAATCCAACTCAATCTCCATCCCAGTGCTGTACCCAGCTCCATTCTGTGTCCTGGAGTCCCAGGAAGGACCCATTTTGAGGCCCTGTGTTCCTGGAGTTCCCAGTCCGGAAGGGAAAGTCCCAGGCCTGGACACTCCCGGTTCATGTGGATAGGACTGGGATTGAGAGGGACAGAAGCCAGGCTGGGGGTGGGGTGGGGATGACTGACTTGAGATTTGAATGATTACTGGTAACCATTTAGATGCACTTGAGAAGAGTGCTCTGGCCAGGGGAACAGCCTGGGCAAAGGTCATGGAGAGTTGCGGGAAGAGAGAGGAACCACTTACCTCGGTCAACTACCCCAAAACAAACAAGGAAACAAAAACGCCCCCCAAAACCAGTTGCTGTTGAGTTGATTCCAACTCATGGCAGCCCCATGTGTGTAAGAGCAGAACTGCTTGTAGTTTTTCAACAGCTGTAATCTTTTGGAGCTCTGGTGGTATAGTGCCTAAGGCATTTGACTGCTAACCAGAAGGCTGGTGGTTCAAACCCACCAGCCACTCCTCGGAAGGAAGACTGGGCAATCTACTTCCGTAGTGATACCGCCTCAGAAACCCAAGGAGGGGTCGCTATGAGTTGAATCGACTCGATGGCAGTGAGTTAGAGTATATGGATCATTTAATAAAAAGCTCTTGGGATTACTGGGAACCTGCCTGGAAAAAATACTAATTCAATCTATTTCTCATATCTTATAACAATATATAACATTCAGATGACTCAAAGATTTAAAATTGAAAGAGGAGATCTTAGAAACTGCAGAAGAAATTATGGGAAAGTTATTTTATAGCCAAAGTCCTATTTTGACACAAGTTTGAAGAGGTATATAAGAGATGGATTTATTGTCAAGTGAAAAAGGTACAGAGCAGTGTGTATGATATAGAGTATGCCACTATCTAGTTTTTTGAGATGCAAAAAATTATCTCTGGAAGTGTACATAAGGAAGTAACAACCTGGGTAACCTGTGGGGTACTCTTTCATAGTTTTTGACATTTGAACCATTTGACTGTATCAGCTATTTAAAAATGTAAATAGGCACACAAAAAGAAGAGGATTAAAGAAAGTTAGTCCCTTTGGAGTTCTTGGGTGGTGAAATATTTAACTCACTCAGGTGCTGACTGAAAAGTTGGGGGTTCAGGTTCACCTAGAGTGCATTGGAAGAAAGGCCTGGGGACCTATTTTTGAAAAATCAGCCACTGAAAACCCCATGGAGCACAGTTCTTCTCTGACACACTGGTGTCCAGGAGTCAGAATCAACTCAGTGGCGACTGGGGTCAGAATCAACTCAGTGGTGACTGGAGTCAGATTAAACTCAGTGGCAACTGGAACTGGTTACTGAATCTTCACTGTTTATGAAAGTTTTCCAGTGTGTTTTCTAAGCATAAAACCACATTTGTCAGTAAGGATACATTTCCCCTCCATTTCTAAAAGAGATACTCTTTCATTTTCTTGTCTTACTGCATCAGCTAGTATTTCTAGTATAATGTTAAATGAAGAGTAGAATTTTGGATATGTTTTCTTTGTTTCTTATTTATTTGCCTTTTGATTTTGCTTTCTTGCCATAAAGAATATTTACTATTTCTGCAAATTTGTCAACCTTTTCAGGGATGGCGTTTGGGTTTTGTGGTTTGCTCAGGAAGGCTGCTAAAATCACCCAGCTAAAGTTTCTCTAGTACTTATGTGATACTGTTTTTCTAATGCTTATTATTTTATTTTTTTTTATTTCACTGTGGTGAAAATATACATAACAAAACACATAATATCGCAACGATTTCTACATGTACAATTCAGTGACACTGATTACAGTGGTTAAGCTGTGCAACCTTTCTCACTATTCTTTTCCAAGTCATTCCACCACCATTAACATAACCTCAAGACCCCCAAGTAAAAACTCCCTCTCTCCCACTTCCTGCAGCCTCTGATAACCACTAATACTCTTGGGTTTCCATATATTTGCTTTTTCCATATAAGTGGGACCAAAACCAAACCAAACGCACTGCCGACAAGTTGGATCCAACGCATAGCGACCCCTCCTTGGGTTTCCGAGGTGATATCAGTACGGAAGTAGATTGCCCAACCTTCCTTCCGAGGAGTGGATGGTGGATTTGAACCGCCAGCCTTCTGGTTAGCAGTCAAGTGCCTTAGGCACTATGCCACCAGAGCTCCTATGTAAGTGAGAGAATACAGTATTTATCCTTTTGTGACTGACTTATTTCATTCAGCATGATATGTAGTGGTGTGTATCAGGACTTCATTTCTATTTATGGCTGAGTAACATTCCATTCTGTGTACATTCCACATTTTGTTTATCTATTCATCTAATGCTTAATTTTTGATCCATCTGGAATTAATTTTGTTGTAGGAGTGAGGGTCAGAGAGAGGTCATAAAGAAAGTGTCACCATGTGTCAGGGGGTGGGGGGAGTCTTTGCTCTCAGGTTGATTATTGGGGAGTCCTTAGGGATGACCTGGCCCAGATGCCCTTCCTGACCATGTGCATCAAGGAGAGCATGAGGATCCATCCCCCGGTCACCGCTGTCTCGCGCTGCTGTACCCAGGACATAGTGCTTCCAGATGGCCGGGTCATCCCTAAAGGTGCCCATAACGGCAAGGGGGAGGTCCTGGGCAGGATGGGGGGCCCATCCGTCAGCAGGGACCTCATCCTGATTGTCCCCTCCTCCCACAGGTGTCATCTGCCTCGTCAGCATCTTCGGGACCCATCATAACCCCTCTGTGTGGCCGAACTCTGAGGTGCCGCCTTGCCAATCCATCCTTATCCGCTGCAGGGACCTGGGGAAGGGGTGGGGTCCTGAAAGGGGAATCAGACATCACGTCTGGCACTATTCGCGCATCTGCCTCTCTCTGGATGTCTTGGGAGACCTCACCCAGCAACCTTGTCTCCCCAATCCCAGGTCTTTGATCCCTTCCGGTTCGACCCAGAAAACACCCAGAAGAGGTCTCCTCTGGCTTTCATTCCCTTCTCTGCGGGGCCCAGGTGAGACCAGCAGGCAACTGAGGCGGGATGGGGTGAGGGGTACAGGGGGTCTGGGATTTAGTCTACGTCTGAGTGTGAGTGTGTGTGTGTGTGTGTGTGGCAGTTTCAGGTGGTCCGAGTTCCAGTCCCCTTCCCACCCCTCTCCCTCAGGCTTTAATAATGAATAAGAGAAAGGAGATGGGATACACGGGGGAGCACCGGTGCTCAGAGCCCCACCCCATTTGCTATTCTGAGTCGGATGCTGGAATCTGGACCAAGCGCAGGGGAGAGGGAAGCCTTTGTGGGGCTCCTGGCTCGGTCAGCTCCCTCCCTATCCCTCTCGCTGATCGGGGTGTGTGTGGGGTGTTGGGGATTCCGGCGGGTTCCAGGCCCGGGGGGCCCGGATGCATCCTGGGCACAGTCAGACCCCTGCCTCGCCCGCAGGAACTGCATCGGGCAAACATTCGCCATGACTGAGATAAAGGTGGTGCTGGCACTCACTCTGCTGCGCTTCCGCATCCTGCTTGGCGACACCAAGCCGCAGAGGAAGCCGGAACTGATCATGCGCGCTGAGGGCGGGCTGTGGTTGCAGGTGGAGCCGCTGGGCGAGAGCCTGTGAGGACTCCCTCTCCCCTCCCCTAAGACCCGACCCGACCCGACCCGACCCGACCCGACCCGACCCACTCACCTACCTTAGCCGACTCCCAGGAATAAAACTCCGCTGAAAGAAGGTTGGGCAATCTACTGCCGTAGTGATACCGCCTTGGAAACCCAAGGGGGGGTCCCTATGAGTCGGATTCGACTCCAGGCAGTGAGTTTGGTTTTGGTTTTGGTCACCTCTCTGCCTGAGCTTCCTCGGGAGCCAGCAGGGGAAGCTGGGGACTGCTGGGGAGCCGGGGGTGGGAATGGCTGGATGGAGGGGGGCCGGTCTGTCTGAGCCCAAGACACCCCCCCCCCCCGGCCTGTCCACGATGATCCAGATGATGGAATTAACCTGTGGGTAATAGGGAGCCATGGGAGGTGTTAGAACAGGAGAGGGATCAGAGTTGAAGATTGACTTAAGGGGTAAGATTGAGGTTCTGAATTAGGGAGGGGAACCCATAGTGCAAGATCCCTTCCTCTGGGTTTTAGATATCCCCCAAGGTGGAAGGCGCTCTGGTGGCATAGTGCCTAAGGCACCTGACTGCTAGCCAGAAGACTGGCAATTCATACCCACCAGCCACTCCATGGGAGGAAGGTTGGGCAATCTTCTTCCGTAGTGGTACCACCTCGGCAACCCACGGAGGGGTTGCTATGAGTCGGTAGACTGGACCACACATAACAACAACAACAACAACCAGCGTGGAGGCTGCTGGACAGACTAGAACACAGCGGGTCGAGGTCCCCAAAGCCCAGGCCCAGGCAACCTACCCAGGTCTCTTAGTTCTCTCCCTGCTGTTGCCAGTGACCAACACCCTCCCGTTGTCTGCCCATCCTAGTCGATCCCAGAGTGTCCTCCTTCCTCTGCCTTCCAGAGCCCTTTCTGTTCCTCCTCTGGCCCCCTGGTGCCCAAGCAGCCTGGCCAACAGATACAGACTGAGTATGTGCTATTCCCTGTGCATAGGGTGCCCCTCTCCCAGCTCTTTCAGGCCTGAGTTTCATCACTCAGGGCTCAGCGGAAATGCCACCTCCTCAGTGAGATTCTTCCTGCACTATCTATGTACCCCCTCATCCCAGTTAATTTCTGTTCCACCCCTCCACTTATTTTCCTTATAGATCTTATCATCTGAAATAATCGTGTTTATTTGTTAATTTTGTTAATTATTTACTAAATTGAGAATCTATTAGGTGCCTTTGGTACTAAGATGGCCCAGACCCTAGCACTGGATAAATGCTCCAGAGAATACTTTGATTTCATTTTGAAGATTCAGTACAAGATAGAAACGCCACGAAAATCTAGGGTAGATCTTCCATTCAATGTTACACAAAACCACCTATTACTAGCTGTCTGGGAAAAAATAAAATGGAACCATGGTTTAAAAAGTTTGGAATCTTCAAGTTAAGCGCCAAAACAAACAAGGAAGCAATCCATTGCCGCGAGTCCATAGCAACCACACACGCTACAGAGGAGAATTGCTTCATAGAGTTTTCTTGGCTTTAACTTTTACAGACACATATTGCCTTTCTTCCATGGCACCACTGGATTGCCAGTTTTTAATTTAGTGATGGGCTGAAACCACTGGTGCCACCTGGGGACGTGAGTTAAGCACGAAT